AATTACGCATTTATTTTTGTCCTTTTATTTTGGGCTCTGCATTTCCTATGCTTTCTGTTTTATGTATTTGTTTCTACTTTATTTGGGCTCTCTATTTCCCACACGCTCTCTTTACTTCTTCCGGCTTCTTATCCCTTTCCTGGTTTACACTGGTTTGAAAGTTAAAATATTTTATCTTAAAAAAATATATATTTTTTATTTTGTTTTGCAGCTGTTACCCTAAACCCCCTGAACACACATACCCTGATTTTATAGAAAGTAAACCAGCTTATCTATCCTCCAAATGCTGAAATGTCTTAGGTTTGTACAGCTTTGGTATTTTAATTTCACATTGTCTTTAATAAACGCATCCCATCACGTGATTCTGTCTCAGGGTGACCCTATAGGACAGAACAGGGTTTCTGGAAGCAGAAAGCTCTCTGAAAGGCTGCTGAGTTGAAACCACTCGCCTTTTGGTGGTGACAACCAAGCACACAGGGCACATTAGTGAGTGTATGGCTTTACACCGACAATGCTTAGTCTGTTGACCTCCTTTTGTTCATTTTTAATGTCCCACATCTTACTTCCCCTTTGTGAGCTACATCCTTTCAAACTGCACTGTTAAATTTCCATTAATTTAGATGGAATGAATTAAAAATTCAGCTAAATTAATCTGAAAATTCAGATGCACTAGCTGAAGAGCCACCTGTTACTCGTGGCTACTGCACTGGACAGAGCTGCTCTGAAAGGTCTGCTGGAAGTAACCATTTTGTTTTGTTTGAAAAAGGCCTTTACAGACTTTGGACAGGGCAAGATATGACAAAATAACAATTCATAAAGTATCAAGGGCTCATGAGGGAGGGGGAGCACGGAGGGAGGGGAAAAATAGGACCTAATGCCGGGGGCTTAAGTGGAGAGGAAATGTTTTGAGAATGATGAGGGCAATGAATGTACAAATGCGCTTTACACAATTGATGTGTATATGGATGGTGATAAGAGTTGTGTGAGCCCCTAATAAAATGATTTTTTAAAAAGGCCTTTACTTTGCTCTTCTAAAGTACTGAACTGTTGCTTGATAGCTTCCTTTCAATTCTCTGAAAATAACAATCTTGCTTTCAACCTTATAGCTGCAACTGAAAAGCATGCTGTCAGTGTAATTGGTGTTCTTGTATTAAGTAATCAAACTTGATTTGCTTGTTTCTTTGCTTTTAACATTTCACCAGGAGGTATCCATGTGTACCTACTATTTCTATCTATTATGCATAGGTATATCCTACTCCTTACATCTGAGATTTATACCTTTCATGGATTCTGGAAAATTCGCAGCCATCTTCAAATACCATCTCTCTCCAGATTTTAATTTTTCAAAATTCTTATCTGTCCTATGTCAGCCTTTCCAATTCTATCACCTGTCACATTTCTTTTACTTTTCCAAAGCAGCAATTCTCTTTTCAGCTGTTTCCAGTTGTTGAATTCAGGTAGAAAGTTTATTTTAATAAAATTTTCATTTCCATCATGCTTTTGTCTCTTTTTTTCCAAGTGTACCTATCAGTTTGCTTCATGGTATTTTTATTCTTAGGTTTTGGATACTTTCTTTCTGTCTTACAATCTATATCTGAACTTTCTATCACAGTTCAAGTCTTCATCCGATCATTTCATGAGCACAAAATCCTCTATTGCATCCTAACTTCCACGCATTGTGGTTAGTTCCATGTAGACTACTGATTCTGGGCCACAGGGTTTCTCTAGATCACTGGATAAGAGTGTGCGGTCTGTCCTGCCAGAGGGGTTTGGCTTTGTTTCCTTGGGTGGTCCCGAGTACTCACCAGGTGCACCTAGAGCACCTGAGTACTCACCAGGTGCCCTAGAGCATTCTTGGCCCGGGTAAAAACTGCCCCACAAGAGTGGTGGAACCTTGAATTCCAGATGTGTGAGGGGAGGCTCATGGTTACAGCTTTCAGGACTCACTCTCCGTCCCCCAGAGCCAAGGCTCGGGGAGATATGCTTATTCCCTCTCCTTAGAGAGCCCTGGTGGTGTCGTACTCACACACTGGGCTGTGATCCTTAAGATCAGCAGTTCTAAACCACTAACCGCTCTGTGGGAGAAAGACAGGGCTTTCTAGTCCTGTGAAGAGCTAGTCTTGGAAACCACAGGGCAGTTCTGCCTCGTCCTCCAGGGTCACCAGGAGAGGGCACTGACTTGATGGCAGGAGTTTGGTTTTGGTTCGGTCGAAGGCAACTCTCTTCATACTGAACTAACCTGTAGTTCATCAGGGGACCTGGCTATATGCTGTTGGTATGTCTTAGCTTCATGCAGGTCCAAGGTTTTATTTCCCGATCCCAATGTGCTTCCTAATGCCTTCCTGATACCACGGAGATCTCCCATCCTCAAGAGCCTCCTAAAGGCTGGCGGCCAGCAGCAGCTCAGGCGCTCCCACCTCAGTTCACGTGGTTCATTTAGTCCACGAAAGGGTCCCTTCTGCCCTTTAGCATCCACCATTTTATACACTCACGGCCACTGAGCTGATTTCAACTGGGCTACATGTCGGGCTGCTCACTGGATAGGTTTGAGACCACCAGCTGCTCCCCTGGGGGCAAAGATGAGACCCTCTCCTCTCCCAAAGAATGACAATCGTGTAAGTCTGTAGAGACATGAACTGGATTAATGGTTCCCTTGCGAGGGGGAGAGGGGTCCTCGCAAGGGAGGGTGGGGAAATGAAGGAGCACAAGAAAGAAAAATGTTCTAAAAAGGATTGTGGTGATGACTGTACAACTCTTCCTGATGTGATAGAACTATTGAATTGCATGATATGCGAATCACGTGTCTCCCCCCCCCCAAATAATTATGGTCTTGGAAACACATCAGGCAGTTCTACACTGTCCGATAGTCGCTATGAGTATTTTCATTTCAAAATACTTGAATGGAACGAGTTTCCCCTTGGACAGAAGCTGAAGAATACTTCAGTTTATGTGCCGATGTCTTAGTATTCTGGGAAATTTAGCAACTGCAAAGAATTTATTAGTCAGGTAGTTAGGTACCAAAACAATGTTCATACATAGAAATAAAAACAAAATATCAGTACACAGGACATATGTTTAAACAACAAAAACACTTTCTCTCTTTAAAGCAAATCATAACAAAATAAAAACCATCACCAATGTTTCTCAGGGTGAAGTACCTACATAATAAAAGCCATGTGACTCGAGTCCAAGAGAGACAGCGAGCGAGATATCAGCTATACTCGCTCGCTACCATTGAGTCAACTCTGGCTCAGAGCAACCCGCTGTGGGTTTCCGAGACTGGTTATGGGACTAGAAAGCCCCGCCTCTGTCCCATGGAGGTGCTGGTGGATTTGAACTGCTGACCATGCAATTGCAGCCCAATGGGTAACCACTGTGCCATCAGGGTTGCCTGACATCCGCAGTAGTTCTAGGTGCAAGTGCCTGACCAAAAAGAGCTTCCCGTTCACAAGGCTCCTGTAAGATAAGCGTGTGGGGTCAGTGGGCGAAGTCACCTTCCCAAGGTCAGCCAGTAAAATGGCAAAGCCTGGAATAGACTGTTATCTGCAAATGAAATTCCAAGTCAACAGTGTTGCCATAGTAAAGGCACGCTTGGAGTACCTTCTCCAGTCTCTGCAGCTAGAAATCATCTCAAACACCAACAACGAAACGGGAGGAATACGAACTTAATGCAAGCCTCCCTGGGGGACTTCCACTTGGGCCACAAGGAGAGGGAGGGCAGGGGTCTCCTGCTTCAGACTGCCACTGTTCTACAGAGGCCGTCCACACGGGGCCATCACAATTTAAACGATTCAAATTGGGGGAAAAACCTCAGCTCCTAAACCACAGGAGCCCATCCCAAGTGCTCTGTAGCCACACAGGGCCAGGCAGGGCCTCCTGGGTGCTGCGCTCACACCACACAGCCTGCTCTACAAGGTGCACAGAACGTGGGCGCCGAAGGCCCTCAGACCTAGACTCCAATTCTGCCAGGCACTTACAACTTGCTACCTTTCTGAGCCTTAACTTTCCTCATCAATAAATTAGGAATCAGAAGCAAGGTACCGGGAGGATACGTGCTCCTCAGTAAAGACGGAAGCGACTGCCTCCCCTAGTCCTCACTGCACGGACGGACATAGACCAAAACAAACAAACAAACAAACATTCTCACTAGCCTTGAGTCGATGTGGACTCAGAGCAGCCCCGGGCGGAAGAGCGCCTAGCCCGTGGTTCTCTGAGAGCCGAGCAGCTGGTGGTGTGGCACGGCCACCAGGGCTCCTCTGTGGACTTAGACTGCTTCCGAACTGGTCACTAAGCTTAAGTACTTGGTTATTTTAAACATTTTTCTGTAATATTTTACCTTTTTTTTTTGGGGGGGGGGTTATGTAGTAATAGAGGGCATTTTGTATCTATTAAAAAAAAAAAGACTCAAGCAAATTATTCTTCATTTTCTATTAGATTGACGTTACCGACTGATTTAAGTAACTAGAGATGCTGGACCCAAAGGCGTAGTCACATGCGTTAAATAGGTCAGGTGTCTTGGTGGTATTTTCCACAACAGACTGTCAAAGAGCAGCCACACAATCAGGTATAATTACCTGTATGCACATGCAGACACTAATTAACTTTTTATTCCAAGAATAAATCCCTGAACAGCTCCACAGAGCTTGCTGAACTGACAGACTTTAAGACCAGGTAGCGCAAACCTGCACGTGAGGCTCGGGCCACACCTTCCCTCCATACTGCCTGCCACCACTGCCCTGAGTGCAGCTGCTCTTAAAACACAGCCCCAGGTCTCCCCTACTCTGTTCAGACAGACTCAGGCCCACCTGCACTCTGGAAGGAGGCTGGGTGCTCTAAACCCCCAATAGCAATACTAGTCCCTGTATGGCCCTAACGAGAAGATTCAGGGCCTCCATTAGCAAGAGGCATAGGGTAGCCTGGTGAGCTGAGTGTCCCGTTCATGAAGAAACAGCTGTTTCCTTCCCCCTCACCATCTTCCCTGTCCCTCTGCTGCTACAGCCATGAAGGGCGAGCTGTGCAGTGTCAGTGGGTACAAGATTTACCCCAGACAAGGGAGGCGCTACGCCAGGACTGATGGAAAGGTTTTCCAGTTTCTTAATGCAAAATGTGAACCGGCATTCCTCTCCGAGAGGAACCCTTGGCAGATAAACTGGACTGTTCTCTACAGAAGGAAGCACAAGAAGAGGCAATCGGAAGACATTCACAAGAAAAGAACCCGCCGTGCTGTCAAATTCCAGAGGGCCTGCACAGGTGTGGCTCTTGCTGACAGAATGGCCAAGAGCAATCAGAAAGCTGAGGTTGGAAAGGCCCAGCGAGAACAGGCCACCAGGGCTGCCGAGGAAGCAACCAGGGCAACACAAGCTTCTAAAAAGAGCAATGGCTGCTACCAAGGCCCCACAGAGGTGGCACCTCAGCCAAGGATTGTGACCCCTGTGAACGTTTCCGCTCCCGCTCCCTGGGTGGGTGGAAAACACGAAGTTGGCAGATGAGACCTTCAAATAAAGATGCAACTATTAAAAAAAAAGCTGAGTTTCAACTCTTTGTTGGAAATTTCTCTCAGATAAAATGGACCATTTTACTTCTTTTGCCCCAAGGTATTCTAGTGAACATAATAAACACGCCCATGATTAAGGCCTGACGTCATTACAAGTTCATCTCACCTGTGTGCAAGTACCGTTATCATGTTCCGACCCCAGGTACACTCGAGGTATCTGCTACATTTTTCACAAAATGAAACCCAGCGCTAGTATTTTTTTCTTTTTTTTTAAAAATGTGCCTTCATTTCTTCCATGATTAGACTACAGGCACGGAAATGCTGGCAGCTAACGGGAGCTCTGGTTAAAGCAGTCCAATGTTCTGTGTGCACTGCTGCACTTCCAACTCCACAGGGACCTTCACTGGGAAATGAACACAAGCGTGACTCGCTGCAGGCTTATGCCACAAGCCAATTAGGGCCACAGGCCTCCGACAATTTCCCACTTGGGTCAGTTCAACCATCAGATTTTCCCTAGGAGTTACGATTAGATTAGGCTTACAGGTTGTGAAGAAAAAAAACACAGCCAATTTTGCTCAAAAAGAAGTCTCTGTGTTCCTCTGCAGAATTTCCTCTTCAATGGGGCCCCTGAAGCTAATCGGTTAGCACGAGTTTCAAGAATCCAGCTGAGCTCACAGGCATTAAACACCAACTTCTAGCTGGCAAGAAAGCGTAACCCTGTTATAAAAGTAATAAAGTTTCTACTTGCCAAGCTCAAAACAAAACAAAAAAACAACCCAAACCCCACACTTCTAATATAGTCCACAAAATAAAAAATGTCAGGCACTTTTATCGGGACAAAATAGTTTATAGAGAAGCGAGAGCGAGAGCGAGAGCGAGAGAGAGAGAGAGAGAGAGAGAGAGAACTTGGCTAACTATGTAAAAAGTGATGTCAAGAGAAGCATTCAGGGCTTCGGGCTTTGAAACAGAGCTTGGTGTTTGTCCCTCAAGAAGTAAAAGAGAGCAATTTCACACCGAAGACATCTTCTCCCCTCGCCCCCCTCCAAGTGCGATTCAAATGGAATTGAATTAGAAGAGACATTTCTCAAGCAAGTTCTTAGACAGTCGTTACAACACACGCTCTGCCACAAGCAGCTCTCATGTTGCTCTGGTCAAGGTCAATTGAAGTCCTCGGCCTCCGTCCCCTCAGACCTAGACCTTCCAGACCCACACTCAAGCAGGAAGCACGGGCACTTCCTCGTACTGCGCTTTCCTGAAATTGCCAAGCGAGCTGACAGCACCCGATAACTCCTAGAGTCTAAAAAATGCCTGTACGGACCTGGAGTAACAGCAGAAGGGTCACCATCCTAATTCTCCAATTGAGAAGCTGTCGCTCACTTCTGAGGCTGGTGCACTTAACTCCCTGCTCACTCTGCACAGGCTTCTGAATCATTAGAGCACAACAGCTCCTGGCACAGCGCTGGTACCCAGCAGGCACGCAACTTGAAAAAGACAAACGATTCCGGGCAAAGCTATCACTTTCTTTTCAGAAAGCCAATACCTGTCTCCACCCTCAGCGTCTTCCAAAGGAAGTTCAGTTGCTCAGAGGCCGGGGCAGCCAACAATTCAACAAAAATGGAGACGAATGGAGTGCCATCAAGTGGAACAACGTAGTTGACTAAAAGGACAGGTTACGTATTCATTTATTTTTAAGGACATGTTTTTATGATCTCACAAGACCAGTCTTATTAAGAGATTCATAATCATAAAGAGCATATAAATTGTATTCACCATAATCTGAAACTCCCAATGATGAGATGAAACGAAAGCCCCCCATTTCAGATGTATACATACCAAGCACAACAAAAACAATTATACTCACAGCTTGCATTTCTGTATAGAAGAAACGGTTCGTGGAGCTGAAATTCCAGATCTTTATTGACTGGCTCAACTAGGTTGTGCATATTCAGTCGATTCACAATGGTAAAACCATGGTAAGGTGAAGCTGACCTTAGATTTAACAGAATAAAAAAAAAAACACAAAGGTAATCTGTCGTCACTGTTCACGCAATCTGCAGAACTGTTATTTACTGCTTCAATTTTACTCACTATTTAAACACGTACTGGTTAAACTAGATAACAATACAAGCACTTCTAAATGTAAATGAAAGGCAAGTCGGATCAAGCCCCTCCGGTCCAGTGCCCTCTAAGGACTCAACCCTCCACTGCAAATGCGGAGTCCTTGACAAGGCCGCCAAGCTCTGCCTCTTTCTGGCTTCGTCTCCCTTGTCCCTTTCTCCTGCCCCCGCCCCAGCCACACCGGGCTCCCTGCTACACTCCTAACCTGGAGGACTGAGCGGGCCATGTTGTATCTGCCCCCTCCAGCAAGCCTTTGTTAAACTATCCTGTGCACCGAGGCTTACTATCCTGCTAGTTTTCTCTGACGCTTTCTAAACCACTTCTTACTTTTTATATTGCTCTTTCTCCCCATGCTGGAAAGTTTCACTATAAAAATGATCGCCATCATTACAATAATTATTTTCCAAAGGGGTCTTTAAACAGTTCCCCAGTTAGAGGGATAATGCCTTGAATCCTACAATAACAACATTCCTGCTTTCCCGCCCCAGGACACAACCCTTAGGAGCCCTTCCCTATGTACTGCCAAGCCCAGGGAGCTAACAGAGCCCCATTTACAGAGCAGGAAACAAACGCCACACGACTAACGCGGTGCCTAAAGTCACACAGAAACATGACCAGAATCAGCTTTGGGTTTTTTTGACTCCAAAATCAGACCGCTTCTATTACTAAGTGGTTCCTGCAAAGTGATTCTGAAACCCGGGCTTATTGTGCGCTAACAAAAACTCCTCACTCAGTGCCTTAATTGAGTGGACTCAGACTCATAGGAACCCTATCCTGCTGGGCAAGGTAGAACTGTCCCTTTGCGACTTCTGAAATCTTTACAGAGCAGACAGCTTCGTTTCCCCCCTACAGAGCAACAATTACCAAGTTCAAGCCTCTGGCCTTGCAGCTCAATGCACAGCCCCTACACCACTCTGGGCAAGTGAAATGCTTCTGTGTTTCCCAGAGGTTTCTTTGGTCTCCTCCTTTTGATCTTGGGGGCTTGCAAGAATCTTGTGAAATCAAGCCACCTTCGACACCACGCCTCACGGTTTAACCAGTGTAGATGCACTAGACTCAACAAAGTCAGGAAAGCACTTTCCAAATACTGCAGATACTCAGGCATTAACAAAAGTTGATGTTTTTAGATTTATACAGAATATGACGAATAATGAAGCTTAAAGGGCTTTAAGAAAAAAAAAAGGAAAAGTTGAAAAATAGGAAACAAAGTGTTGAAGAATTTGATCTATTAATATCGAAGCACTTCTTTATGAGGCATCAAAAAGTTCATGGTAACAATCCGCTAGCTTTTATTTCCATGATTACGCAAGCCTTTTGCAGCTCCTCATACAGGTGGCTAGGTGTTTTGGCTGCTAACCAAAAGGCTAGCCAGAAAGATGTGGCAGCCTGCTTCTGCAGACTGAGTCTCAGAAACCCTAGGAAGTCTGTTCTACTCTACCCTACACGTTTGTCGAGAGCCAGAACGGACTGGATGGCAGTGGGTTTTGTTTTGTTTTATAACATAAAGAATGAAAAAGATCAGCATACTTAAAATGATGCAGGCTTTCTAAGGAACTCTGATACACTAAAATGACTCACATCCTTGGTGATCCTCTCAGGTAGCTGTTGAAGTGTTAACTGCAAGGTCAATGGCTCAAACCTAGCGGTCGCTCCCCAAAATGAAGATCATGCTGTCTGCTCCCATAAAGAATCACAGCCTTTGAAAGTCAATGTCACCTAGCCACGGAGAGTCAGAGCTGACTTGATGGCAGTGTGATTTTATTTATTTAGGTTTTAAAGGCACAGTATGCAATCCAGACTTTGGGGGTGGTAGTGGTAAAGGGGTCAGACTCAGAGTTACAGGCTGTTACTTAGTAACCTGTTACTTAGTAACTCTAGAAATGAGATGTGAAAACTCAACTACATTGTTTTGCAAGAGCTAGTCTATGCATTAGATTTTTCTCAACTTATTTTGCCCTTAAACCATCAGGGAAGGGAGGAGACATCTGTTTGGACTCCATCATTACTAGAAAATGTTTTCTATTCTGAGATGGCTCTGCAGGCTCTGAAATCCAGTCTGGTCTGTAAGGACCCGAGAAGGGACGCCATCAGCTCGGGCTAGAGGAGCATCTGAAAGGGACAAGCAGGAATGTGCTCTCCGGCTCAGAAGAGGTCACACCAACGTTATACCACAGCGCTCACCACTAGATTTTAAAATACTTAATTTTTTTTCAAAGCTTACCTCCGGTATACAAATAAGGTCCCTTCTATATCAGTCTTCTCCTGCAATAGACAATGAATCAATTAGCGTTTTCCCAATCATTCAGATCCAAATAGTGCTAAAGGATAAGAAAAGGTCTCCTATCTACAATCAACTTCCGAGGTTTAAAACGGATCACTTTGAACTAGCCAAGTAAGTCTTTCACTCCACCAACTGCTGTTAGCAGTATTTTACATCCCCTTTCACGTATGTAAGCATATTTGATGTTTTATCTAGCAATATTTCTGTATCTATGTTTCTCTTGGCTGAAAGACTGGAAAACACACCTAAAGGCCAACAAACAGCTCTTGAACTAACTACGAGCTTTTCTTTCTTGTTGTGTTTTGCTTTTTTGTCACTGGCTTGTTGTTGTTTTTTCTTTTGTTGCTTGGTTTTGCTCTGTCTTGTTTTTGCACATGTTACTATCTCCGCAGGTCTGTCTAAGTAAGATAGGCTGGATGAACAATCTGGAGGAGAAAACAATGGGACCGACAGTTCCGGGGGGACATGGGAGAG